TATCAGACACTTAGGTGCAAGATTATGCCAAAATTCCATGTTTTCCGTCCCGTTTTTGCTTATTTCTCGGAGGCAAAATGAGCAAGAACGCTCATGTGTACATGATTCTAGACAGAAATAAATGGCCTTTTTAGAAAGTGAACCATGGATGGGGAAATGTTGGCAGTTTCCTCACAAAATGCTTGAATTCAAGAAGTTTTAGATTTGCGTGGTTTTTTTTCAGTTGCAAAATCCACTTGAACATGACGCTGCTTTTTTCGAAGTTTCTTAAGAACCATTTAGGGGCTAGTGAAGAAGTCAGACACTGCGACTGTTGTAGCTCATGTTAATCGCGGCGTTTATGCTAATTTCCGAACAATAAAAGAAAGTAGCCCGTAATTAACGCTGACCAATTTGCTCAGATCGTGTTTGTATTGTTTGTGCGAATTGGCCATCTTCTGAACCTTACGCAAGTCCGTCTAGTCCTGCTGGTGTAAAAGTGGTTCTTGTGCGCTTTTCATTTCAGCGGCACACGACACGAGGGAAATCTGCCTTAATTACTCACGTGGAAATTAACTGTTAGCACGCTTTTTGATCGGTTAACGTTTCTAATCAGACCTTGCAGGCTTTCAAGCGGGCCCCGCATTTGGGAAGATTCTGTCCAGTAAAGAAAATGTGTTTTGTTTGAGTTGATATGCAAACGGCCATCAAGCGGTACCGGTTGAATGGCGCGGTGGAGCCCCATTCCGGTACCCATAATAGAACAGAACCTGTTCCGCGGGGTCCCGGCTGACTTATCGTCCAGGTCACCAGCAAAAGATATCCGCTCACCAAAAGTGGGCCAAAAACCATTTTAGCCATTCAAACACGCCGTCTGGTTTAAACGTATTTCAGGTCGCACTATCAAGATTGCACATGCAAACTCAAGATCAAGGTGTGGTCGATAAGAGGGAAATTCTATATTGTTGAGGCGGATTCATTTTTTACAAACTTCTTTTTGGGTATTTCGCCTCAAAAATTTTTGTCTTTAAAAAAGACAGAATTTCC